TTATTGTGCTTGTATCTGTGTGCAATTGTTGTTGTTGCTGATGCTGACGTTGTTGCTCTCCGCTGTTGTTTCAGTTGTTATTCAGCTCAAATTGTTATTGAAACAACATAAATTTGCTGCTCGACGTGTGCTCGTCGTTACTTATTTGAATACGGCATGAACAAAGACCCACACACGCGCATAAACACACATGCACACTCCCACATATATAATACATAAACAAAATAAATAAACATACACACATACATACATACACATAAAAAAAACAATTGCTCTGGATTTGGCAGCTCATACCAAAGGGTTTTGTTCAAATATCAGAAAATTAAATAAAATGAAATACAAATGCGCAAAAATTTGTAGCCCCTTGTGCGTTCATTGTGTGTGTGTGTGTTTCTGTGTGTGTGCATGTGTATGTGGGTGAGTGTTAGGCTTTGCACTGGCTGTACTCTATTGCCAATTGAATGAAGGCATATATTGGTTTAAGGCAATGTGTCGTATGAGTGTATAAACAAACTAGACGACTATAGAAAAATCAAATTAATACTAGGATTGAACCCTCCCTAGCTATCCGCCCCAAGCCGAGAATTTCAATGTCTTTCAAAATCCCAACTAATATATTGTTCCCTTAATATAATAAAAATAACATGTCAAGTCCAGATTTTCATAAATATTTTTCTTTATGTGACATTGCCTTGATGTCTTATCTAATATTATCTTTTTGTTGTTTGTTTTTTTTTTATGATTAGCTTTTGGCTGGCTCTTAGACAACTTGATTTTAAGAAACAAATGATTTGTCAAGGCAATCAAAAATGAATATATGATATGAAACTAAAATTCAAGTCTTGTTTTTGACTAGAAGTTAGCTATTAAGTCCAGAGCTGCAAGGCCTTATCCAAAAATCCATAGATTTCAAATCGAGTCTTCAACTTCACTACATGAATATTCTAAATTGAAATAAATTTAATATGAAATTAATCAATTAAATAAAAATAATAATTGCCCATTTTTAATGGGTTCGGGGTATAAAAAGAATTGTTTAAGGGGCTGCCAATATTCTTTTTAATACTTGACTCAATATGGCCTAAAAACGACTAACAGAAAACATTAGCTTATTTTTAGCTTAAAACGTAAAATTTGTCATTTTCGCAGCAACACATCACAGAGCATTTCGAAGTCGGTAAAGCCCGACCATTATTCTGCCGGCGTGTAAAATGGTTTCGTGGAAAATGAAATAAAAAAGAATCTGAATCTGAATAGCCCCAGCGTAAATCTGATAAGAGCGCTCAACAATACCAACAGTCACACCCAGGCTCGGTTTCATTTTGTGCAGCATAATTCGGAGCGCTGCTTTACCGAGCAACCAATTAGGTTTATTTAATTTCGGTCAGTCGTAAATCTGAACAATCAGCGTACGACGAGCAGGCAGAGAGGCCACGCACACGCCTGCACACCTGTGCCCGCCGTACACCTGCCTCGTGCCCGGTGCCTCACACAAACAATTAACATCAATTAAGAAACGCAATGATGCGTTCGAAGCACTTCCACTTGCAGCTGCGGGCTGCAGCAGCAGCAACTAGTTGACCCGCACCTTCTATCTGATGCCACACAAACAAACAAACAAACCCACACACAGGTACTAACACACACAGTCACACTTGTGCAGTTATGAGTGTGGCGCGTGGAAGTTGCAATTCCGTTATGTCAAAGTTGGCTGCCAACTTGTCAGCTGCGCGTTGGCCTGCCTGAGACCAAGTTTATGGCTGTCAAGTGGTAATGCAAATGATGTCTAATTAATTGCAAATTAGCAAATGTAGTGTGTGCCACTGAATGTCTCTCTCTCTCTCTCTCTCTCTCTCTCTCTCTCTCTCTCTCTCTCTCTCTCTCTCAGTCTCTCTATCTCTCTGTATTTCTCAGCTGCTGACACAGTCGTAGGGAAAACTTGCCGAGGCGTTGTGTCAAGTTTTTGCACAGTTAATGAGTTAAGCGAAACTAATTAGTTTCGTCTGCGAACTGTTGCTGATTTTAGTTATCAAACTACATATGAATTTCCCTGATTTAAATATTAAAGCTAATTAAAGCGAGCAGCATGACGAATGCGTGCCTTTGCCATCAGAGAATGTCATTTCAGACATCAACTTTGATTTTAATTGGGAAAATTTTCTCTCAACTATGAGGAAATTTCTCTGTGACATTCAGCTCTATTTTCAGTTCAAATGAGAAATGTATATAGCATAAATCTATTATTTATGAATATGAGTTTGTCAACTTTTAAAGTATCCTCGCAATATAGAAATTTAATTTTAATTCGATTTCCTTATTAGTTGGAATTATACTCAGCTTCCTCGATTTCTTTACAACTTGAATAAGAAACCAATTGCAGTAATATACTGAGAAATTTCTGATTATTATGAAATATTAATGGAAATTTGCATAGAGAAGTAGTTACAGCTGAAGAAATGGAATAATTAGACTGTAACTCATATAAAGCTCGTTATTAGCCCCCTTCTCCTTTCCCGCTTTACCAACTGTCATAAATCTATGAAATAATAAAAAACATATATATGTGTGTGTATACTTTCTAGTTTCCGTTTATACGTCGTACGTCGTGCTGCAGCCCGACTGCCCGTAATAAAACATTGAAGCGCAGCTGTCAGAGCTGCTGCCAAAACAAATATGGCTCAATGCGAGCTTAGTCTCAACCAGCATAAAGTCATAAAAACAACAATAACTAACAACAAAGGATATACAAAAGGATATGTATGTATATGGTACATTGGGCAACGCGCCTAAAATTGCGACATGCGTGCAGCTAAGCGGGCCATGGCCATGGCACACACGCACACACACTCGGCCATCGATATCGACATAAAATATTTGCGCTTCAATGTGAACAATAATTTTGGAAATTTATTGCACAACTTGTGCATATCGCAATGAAATTTTACGCACTACTTGCTGCAGAACCGGAAACTTTCGCAATAAGCCCCTTAGACCGCTCCAACAAAAAAGCAAAGAGGACCTCGAATAAAACAAAGTAAACAGGGCCCCAACAAAAGTGGGTCCCATTTTATGATACAATCCATTCGCCATCTCGCAGCAGCACTAAACCGCAACAAAGTTATGTCCCTCGTGCCGCTCAAGAGCCCCATTCCTTAATCAGCTTTGCGAATTGAGTTTTATGCGCTCACTTTTCACTAATTTCATTTCATATGAAACGCCCGACGCACATTTTAATTAAGAACGTGCTTAGCTGGCCCATAAATATGGCTTCTATCAGTGCCTGTTGAGTGCCATTTAATTGATAAATAAACTGCGCTATATTAAACACATTTGCCTTTCTTGTTTCATGCTCGATTCGCATGCAAAGCAGCTGAAACTATTTAATTTATTATATTTATTATATTTAATAAAGTTTCATTGATTTTGTGAGCGCATCGCAAGTTTTGTTTTAATTAAAATCAAACATTTTTCATTATATGCACTTTTCGCATAACTTGACTGAACAGCCAAAAACAAAAACGAGCATAAAATAAAAAATGCATAGAGCTAGTTTTATAAATTTATGAGCATAAATTTTTTTTTCTAATGAATAAAAGAGAAAAAAGTCACATTTCCAGATAATTGCGATTTAAGCACTGAAATCTTAAACAACAATTGTCTGGAAACATAATCCGTAAGATTTGAGATATAATGGAGAAATAAACTCAAGCCACATAATTTACCAGATTTACTAGGTTTAGATTAACGTTAATATAATTCGTGGTTTAGTTTCATGATTATTTTTATTGATACGTTCATTTACTATGAATTTGTATATGTGTATTTTTATCATTATTAATTAATTTGTATTTTTATTATATATTCTCTTAATCATTCATCTATGTAATTTTTATTGCTTATTTTTATTTTATTTATTGATTTTTTTTGACTTATTTATATATATATTCCTTTTATATATTTAATAATTATGGAAAAGTGTTTTTGTGTCTTTTTTTTCTCTTTAAATCTAAAAGAAAAATTCCTCTTAAATACCAATTAATTTTTTTGATGTGTACTTTTAAGATATTGAAGATGAAATATTAGTCGATTATTGTCTGACTTTTCAGTGTTGCTCTTAAATATATCATTCAATTTTTTTTTATTTCTCTTTAAAGTTTTCATTGGTTGACTTTCGTATAATTACGTTTGCCAGATAACTTAATTGCTATTTGGGAAAATGTTTTTTTTTTTTCATAATTTTCACATTGTAACCGTCGCCAAAAGCAGTAAAGATTTAACGGTCCGATCTAAACGTTGGGCCTGGCTCTGAGTACGGGAAGCGTTTCATGTGTTTATGTTATGCGCGCTTAATGAAGCCGCAGGCATTTCAACATATCACGCCCACAACTGGCCGCCCGCCTGCTAAGCAGCCCAGTAGCCCAGCAACCCAGCAGCGGCAGCTGTCAGGTTTATTAGCCAATTTAAGAAACAGACTGCCACACTCACTTTCACACACACACACACTTACACACACACACTTGGATACTTTAGCTGTGGTGCGTTTTATGTGCTGCGATGAATTCTGGCGGCGCTTTTTCGGGCTTCCCATTCGCTTAATGACTCAACCAACAGAGTGCGACCGAGCCAGATAGACTGACTGCCACGCCCACAAAACTGCAACTATTTAGAGGGAGAGAGAGGGGGAAGGAGTAAATGTGTGTGTGTGAGTGCGTAACGCGCTAGCTGTGCAGTTAAAACATGTGACAAGCGCCATTTTGACTTTGGTTTCAGTTTTTGCCTTTGTGTCTGGCTGGCAGCACATTAATTATACGACTCGTTGACCGCGCTATTAGTGCTGCAAAATGTACAAGTTTGTCATACTTAGCGCAGCTTAATGTGGCAACACTTGACTACAGATTTGCGGTTCGCCATGCCCCGTGCCCCGTAGCGCCAGAGATTGTGTGTAAGGTTATTATTCGAATTAAACTCCAAATTGAATTTATTATTTCTTCTATTTGCAGGTACGTTTGATGAATAGCTGCAGGTATATTAAATGTACTTTTGATTCCGGCACATGCATTTAATTAATTCGAAGGACGGATGAGGTAGACTACTGTGTCGGCACTGTTGGCCACAAGAGCTCATCAGCTGCATAGATACTGCTGCCAGCAGCTGCAGTAGCCAAATGCAAATTAGTCGGTCAACATAAAATGCATCCAGCAGCAGCCACATTTCATGCATGCATGGCATTTGATGCCCGCTCCACTAACCATTCGAAAGCAAATTCACAAAAGCACTTTGCCAAGGATATTCGCATTAGATAATGCAAAATTTCAAAACCACAAATACTGCTTTTGCTACTTCTGCTACTGCTGCTGCTGCTGCTGCCAGCTGCCAGCTTTCTGTGGTTTGCTGGCGCCTTTTGTTTGGCTCTGGAAATGCTACGCACTTGGTGCTTATTAAGTGTGTACACACTTATTTATACTCTAGGTGACTTGGCATGCTCACTGCCATAGAAATTCGTTACATTTCTCGGAAGCTGCTTGCCTCTTTCCAACTACTCATAACAAGCCGAAGGTGAGTGGTTAATAACACTTAAGTACTTTAGTTATGCTTAGCTAGAAGCATTTTCAACGATAAATCTTAAGATTTCACTTGAAAGTTTATTGGCTGAGCAACGAAATTCAATGAACACTAAATTTCGTAACTTACAAAGCAAAATTAGACAATACAGCAAAATAGTAATTTGATTATTGGCTCTGTAATAAATTAAATTTGAATAGAATCACTTCATTTTAAAAGGACAAAGTTAATAATATTTTAAAATATTATTTAGAATATTTTATTTCAATGAAATAAACATCAATATTCTACATATTTGTTAAATAGGATTTAAATATAATTTAAATAAATTTTTCATATTGATAACTATTATATTTTAAATTTTATATATTTTCTAAATTAAGTTACAATAAATTTCCATCAATAATAACAATTATGTTCAACAACATTAGATAAATAATACTTATTTAACTATACACGTATTTTTTGTTAAGAAATAATTCCCACGAATAGAGCAGCCATTAATATATATTATATTATAATTATAACAATTTATATGATACCGAATTGAAATGTTATAAATTAAAGTGTATTTATAAATCTAGATAGACTTCATTGTTCATACATGCTTTACCCACACTCACACAATGGGTGCTAAATCTATACACATTTTAATGTGCACATATATACATATGCATACACTTATATATTTCGCATGTTAATAGAACTGACTCAATATTTGCTTTGCTTATTGGGTGAGGAGAAAGAAAACCTTTTGCACTTGGGACCACATAGACACTTGGTTATTCCATTATATAGATACGTTATATCATTTATTATTATTGAATAATTGAATAAGCGAGACAACGGCTTCAGCACACACATTCACATTCTTAGCAAGGCCCATATCTCTATGTCTGTGTATGTGTGTGTGCTGAAGCAGCTAAATTTATAATGCATTGCAGTTGCTTCGCCTGCTATTTCAGTTGCGGCTAATGAGGCCGCCCGCCTGTGGTTCGCCCGGCCACGCCCCGAAGAGCACCTGTGCTCCGCAGGACATACTACGTACAACAGCGCTTGGGCATTGCTTATGCAGCTTCTGACCATGTTACCTGTGTGGAAGATTCATTTCCATTACACTGCAGCTTTTTCGCCACTAACCAACATCCCGCAGATGACTTCAAGTCCTTGCATATAGCCATTGTAATAATTCATCCACGTGCATATATATGTCCTTAAGTATTTATGAATACACACACTCGCACACACACACATATGTACATATTGCCTCACATAATTGAATATTTAAGTTGCATGTAAATGTGTTTGGCTTGCGCTATCCTTTGTTATCACCATTTGATGTACTCAGCTGCGATTATTTACTTTGATTGCACTTGGATACCAATTAATGAACCACATTTTATGCTAATCCGAACAGCTCATAAACTGGCAATATCTGAGCAAACATTTTATGCCATTTGATCTATTTAACTGTCTGAGTATTAGGCAACTTTTGCGCCAATCTGCACTGCCTGCCAGCAATATGTCACGAGAGATCGATAAGCAGCTTACAAACTTTTACTGCTCTTCAAGTTGTGGCAAAGAACAGCTGTAGTATGTGTGTAGATATATGTATGTATGAAATATTAATGCACTATGAGAGCTGATTGATAGGGGGAATCAAGTATTTAGCAGCATACAAAAAATGAGATACGAAACACAGACAGTTGAGCTACGAATTTTTAGATTAATTCTTACTGCTAATATTTATTTCTGGAAAGTTGAATTTTCAGCTACTATTGAGCTTGCAGTCTTTTGATATATATATTTTTTTTTAATTTATGAGCATTTTATAAGACTTTTACCTATAATCCTAGGTCTTAATGAGCTACATTGAATTAAATTAAAAGTCCTTGGTAAAAAATTCATCAAAGGCAGTCGCATTTAAACATCAGAGTTTGAATTTATAAATTGGCTACTGGAATATGAAAAACCCCACATTAACATCATTTATGATAAGCAACAACAGAATGGTGATATGTGGGCAGTTCCTCCATATTTTGACATATGAAATGCAAATGCTACTAGAATACCTCAGCAAAACAGCATTCTTATTTTTGATATTCCGTCAAGCATAGCTGCCGCCCTGAGAAATATGCTGACTTTTGCGAATTTGCATTCGAGCTTTGATTCTCATATATGTCACGTATATAAGCAAAGCAGCTGCTAAGCGTATGCAAATCTCGCAGATAATTAAATATTTATACACTTATTTACGCATACACCTAAATATGCGGCAGCTGAGGCTGATATTTAAATTTTGGATGCTGATTGAAATGCGCAGCGACAACAGCTTTGGTTGGTTGATTAAATGACTAAGTGGAGGCAGCACCACCTGCTCCACATTGTCAACTCGGTCGTTGGTCAGGTAATGTCCTTTGCAAGAGCAAATGTTGTTGTTGTTGTTGCTGTCGTTGGGGCTGCTGTTGCCATGCGTGCCACACATGCAAATGCTATTAGGCATCCAGCCTGGGGGCGTTTCGAGTCTTAATTATGCTGCAAACTTGCGACGACGAGGCATACTCAGTGCTTTTTGCTTGCCTCGAGTCCTGCCTGCGGACTGAGTCCATTCTGTGGCAATATCTGTTATCAACGTATGCCGCACAATTAGCAAAACTTGCTGCAGGTATTTCATGCACAACTAAGCAGCAGCAAGGAGCTCCTCGATACACACGCTCCTATCATCTCCCTCTCTCTCTGTTTCACACACTCTCTCTCTCTCTCTCTCTCAGTCTCTCACTCTGTCTAAGTTTGTGTGCTTTTATCTATCTCCCTCCAAGCAGCAACCCCTGCTGTTTGGCACATTATGAAACTTGATTTAGCTGACAGCAAAAAGTCACGTACAATGGTGCGTATTAGTAATCTTGTGCTAACTTTGTTAGCAAGCACTTGAGTATGCCATAGCAAAAAATAAAGGAAAACAAAGAAACACAATCTCACTGGGTTAATGGAATACTACAAAAAAAAGAACAAAAAATACGACAAAAATATAATGGAAACTAAGAAAAACACATGACCTTAGTCCGACGTATACTTAAATCAAAGTGAAAATATGAAAGAAAGTTGCCAGTTTTTATTAAAGCTCAGGAAATAGCAGCTTGAAAGAAAAAAAAAGAATTATTTTACAATGTTTTCTTATCTATGGAAACTGAGCAGAGTTATTATGCAGGTGACTCCAAAGCAAAGATAAGAAATTTTAAACTTTGCTTGGCAGCTTTAATTTCATAAATATATGAGTTAGCATTCCAGAAGGTTTCATATATATTTAAAAAAATTAATTTTGTCTATTAAATTGCAAAACAACAAAACTTTTCTGCTAAATGCTTTTAATTCTCGATTCTTAATAAGAGCAGCTAGATGAAAGCCATGCAATTCGCTTTAGCTGAGCTCCCGCTTTTAGAAATATAACTTAGTTCAAGTCAACTTAAGCTCAAATTTCCTTCTGCTGTTCAGTTTTTATCAATTTTCTTGTGGCAGCGCACAAATTTTATTGAATCTAATAGCGCTGGACTTGGCCATAAAACGCTGAGCCGCATTGACCGGGTTTATGTTTAAGAATAACGCTATTTATGTATATATATATGAGCCATGTCACGTGAATTAAATCCACATGGATGCGTGAGTGTTTGTAACTGTCACTTGTTGTTGTTGCTTGTTGTTATTGTTGTTGTTGTTGCTGCTGTTGTCTGGCGTAATTGCTACACGGTTTTCGAGCTAATAGAATTAGAACATAAACCGCTTTATTGTCTGAGCACACACACACACACACACACACACACACCTACTCTAGCGCACACACACAGAAAACACGCTAACTCATAACAAAGCGTTTTTATGGCAGCTCAGCGGATGGGACGTCATGAAAATGCGACGCTCTTGCGAGTGCTCGCTATTAAGCTCCACAATTATTTTGCATGTGTGTGTGTGTGTGGCTAGGGGCGTGGACATGCTGCTTAAACGCTGACCACATCATAGAAATCACCACACACACACACACATGCACACACATACACACCCTCACACACATTGCCAAGCCGAGCAAATTATGGGCTCAGTTGACGCAGTGCAGGTGCTGCCGTTTCGCTCGCATTTTTGCGGAAAGTCGCTTTTTATGTGGCTTGATTCATCTTCTTCTTGCTCATCATGCTTGACCATTTATTGCGAGTGCGCGCGCATTTGCTGGAAATCAGTTTAATAGCCGCATTATCCAGCTCGGACAGGCCACGCCAATTTAAAATATAAAAAATTATATGCTTGCTGACTTGAAAATAAATATATGAGCGTGGTAAATTCAAGACCTCGTTTATGATAAAAAAAAAAAAGAAAAATCATGCGGAGCTAAACAGAAATATAATAAAGTTTATTCAACTGATCCATGAAAGTGTTTGTGCGCTGACTGAATTACTGATCGTCTGACTGAGTGGGCGATTGAC